TCAGAGTGGATCAACCAGTTTTGCTGCTGACAACCAAAACCAGCAAAACGAGCATGTGATCAGCTGGTTTTTGTTGTCAGCAGCAAAACTGGTTGATCCACTTTGAGACGGTGCTATTTAAGAGACTGAGCTGAATACAGCACCTCAGACTGAGGAAGTCTCTTGGATGAGAGACGAAACGTTTCTACATTTTTTGTTGATTTGCTTTGTTTTTTTGGGGTTTTTTTTGAATGTCCAGAGGACCAGATTTAACTTTTTTAGATACTTTACCCTAAACCCTGAAACAACCAGGCCCCCAGACACTGAAACATCCTGTACCCTAAACCCTGAAACAACCAGACTCCCAGACACTGAAACATCCTGTACCGTAAATCCTGAAACAACCAGACCCCCAGACCCCCAAGACATATTGTACCCTAGACCCTGAAAAATCCTGTACCCTAGACCCTGAAACATTCTGTACCTCAGACCCTGAAACAACCTGTCCATCAGATACTGAAATATCCTGTCCTCAGGCCCTGAAACAACCAGAACCCCAGACACTGAAACATCATGTACCCTAGACCTTTAAACAAACTGCCACTCGGACCTTGGACCATACTGTACCCCAGACCCTAAAACAACTTGTACCCCAGTCCCTGAAACATCCTGTACCTAAGATCCTGAAACAACTGGTCCCTCGGACCCTGAAAGAACCTGTCCCTCAAACCCTGAATCAACCAGTCCCCTAGACCATGAAACATCTTGTACACCAGACCCTGTAATAACCTGTCCCATAGACCTTGAAACATCCTGTACCCCAGACCCTGAAACATCCTGTACCCCAGACCCTGAAACAACCTGTCCCTCGGACCCTGAAACAACCTGTCCTGAAATAGGGTTTTGTTATTTACCAGTCAGGTTCAGGAGTCTCTGGGACTTTTAGTCTGTGGATTAAAAACCAACTTGTTTGTGAAATGCTGAGTAAATAGGTCCAGAATAAGTTTTGTTGACTCACCGCTCTTAGAGCTCCCAGTAACTGGGAGTAGGAGAAAATGATGATGCTCAGAGGAAGGATGAAGCAGGTCACCAGCAGGAACTTCATGTAGCTGCCACAGCTGCGGTCCTCACAATTTGAGTACCAGTCAGGTCCACAGGAGCATCCCAAACCCTCAGGGATGTACCTGAACACAAACATTATATCACCTAAGCAAGACATATCTGATTAAAATGGCCTTTGACCTGGTTATAAAAACTACCTGCTCCAGCCAAAGAAAGGTGGTGTGGCACAGCCCACCCCCATGCACCATGTGAAGATGACGGCGGCTGCAGCGTGAGTACTGCCAAACTTAAAGGCTCCAAATGGTTTACAGATGACCAGGTACCGTTCAAATGAAAGGACAGCAAGGGACCAGGCCGTAACTAAACCTGTAGAAATACATCATCTGTCACCTACTGCTACCTCCAACAACGTGGAGTCCTTAAACCTGCAGAGGACCATTAACTGTCACTTCCAACAATGTGGAGTCCTCACACCTAAAGGTTTACCTGCTATGGAACCCATGGCAGCCTCCAGGGCACACAAAGTGTAACCCAAGAAGTAGTAGCCCCTCATGCTGGCGACGAACACCTGACTGACAGCGAAGGTGACGAAGATGAATCCAGCTAAGGTGATGTTGACCAAGATGTAGTTGAGAGGAACTCTAAGCTTCTTGTACTTGATCGTAGCCAAGAGAACGATAAAGTTTAAAGGCGTACCAACAAAGAAGACCAGGCCCATGAAGAGGGTCTGCAGATGGAAAGCCCAGGATGGGGCCAAGTAATACTGGGGCCCCTCAAAGGGGCTGACTTTGGAGATGTTCTCGTACAGGTGGAAACGTGTCCACATTTTGACTCTAAACGTTCTGCCAAATCAAACAGCTTTATTCTCTTTTTATACACTCATAAACCACTTAACAGTAAAGATTATCCGTACGGCTTTTCTTCAACTCTCCGGATTAAAAGCTTCTGACACTTTAATCTTCTTACAGAAAGAAAACAGAAGTAAAATACCTTTGTATCAGAGCTTCTGTTGTTTGACAGCTAAACCTGATTCAGTTATATTTTATTTTAAACAAAAGTAAATTTCCGTTTTTAGCAGGAAACAAACTTTTTTCTAAATTAGTAGGGCATGTTCGTGTTTTCTTTGGTAAATTATTGATCAACCAATCAGAACATCAGCAGTTTAAATTGAAACTTCTGATAATAAAGACATAAATGTTTAGTGAACACACGTTTGACTAATTAACAGCCATTAATTAACTTTTGGACAGTTTCCAATCCATTATTGGACATGATTGTTTACTTGTTCATATTTAAACAATATATTCAGAAAATGTATTTAAAAAATTGTTTTTGTAGTTTGTAGCTAATTGTGATTTTTTTGCGGAGGTTTTAAATTAATTTATTATAAAAACTCTAAGAAATGGTTTAGAAAAAATAAATAAGCAAAAATGACAACAATAAAAGGGCAGCACGGTGGCGCAACTGGTAGAGCTGCTGCCTCTCAGCGAACAGGTCCCTGGTTCAAACCCCGGTCCAGGGGCCTTCTGGGTGGAGTTTGCATGTTCTCTCCGTGCATGCGTGGGTTTTCTCCAGGTACTCCGGTTTCCTCCCACAGACCAAAAACATGCATGTTAGGCTGATTGGTAACTCTAAATTGTCCCTAGGTGTGAGTGAGAGAGTGAATGATTGTTTGTCTCGTTTGTCTCTATGTGGCCCTGTGATGGACTTGCGACCTGTCCAGGGTGTACCCCGCCCCTCGCACAGTGATTGCTGGACATGGGCACCAGCGACCCCCGTGACCCAAAATGGAACAAACGGGTAAAGATAATGGATGGATGGATGGACAACAATAAAATCATTGCAGTTAAGACAACAACAATAAAAATGTCACATTTAAGACAACATTTCGCACACTGCAGTCAAGACAACAATACACATACCACAGTTAAGATGGCAACAATAACATGTTAGAATTAAAACAATAAAAATGTCAGTTAAGATAATATTTTAAAAATCATTGATAAGACAACAACAATAAAAATATCAGTTAAAAAATATAAAACTTCACAGTTACAACAAATTAAAAAAAAAAAATCACAGTTAAGACAACAATTAAAACATCTCTGTTAACAACAATAAAATGTTAGTTATAACAACAATAAAAATGTCATTTGATAACATTAAAACATCACTGTTAAGACAGCATTAACAAAAACATCTAATTTAAAACAATAAAAACATCAGTTGAAAACAATAAAAACATCACAGTTGGGGCGGCTGTGGCTGAATGGTTTGAGCAGCTGTCCTCCATTGCAAGAGTTGGGAGGTTGAATCCACCAGCAAACACAAGTGTCCCTGGGCAAGACAGTGAACCCCTCATTGCCTCTGATGTGTGTCCCATTGGCAGTGGTGGAGAAAGTACTCAAACACTGTACTTAAGTAAAAGTACAAATAAACAGACAAAAATGTACTCTAGTAAAAGTAGAAATACCACATTAACATTTTTACTTAAGTAAAAGTAAATAAGTACTTGCTTTTAAAATACTTAAAGTATTAAAAGTAAAAGTACTTGCTGAATGTATTACATAATGCAATGATCTACATATCTTGAAGTCTGTACAGACTTCAAGATATGTAGACCATTGCATTATATTTTCTGTAATACATTAATAGTGTTGTTCCATTTTAATGAACAATGCTGCATATAATGTTTTTATTGTGTTTACTCTGTGACACAGTTCACACTTGGACTTGTGATTCTGTGCGTCAGAATTTCAGAATGACATGCAGAGTTAAATGTCATTAAACAAAATAAGAAAGAGGAATGATTATACCTTTGAAAGTTTTTATTTAAGACCAACCAAAACCAATGTGTAATTTTAACTGCAGTAAACACATTTAAGTAAAAGTTGTCTGCCTGAACAAAAGGAGCATTAGACACAACTAACAAAGGAACAGGCTCTGATCATTTCAACTGATATTTCAACTCCAGTTTGTCATCATCCATCCATCCCTCCATCCATTATCTTTACCCGCTTATTCCATTTTGGGTCACGGGGGTCGCCGGTGCCCATGTCCAGCAATCACTGTGCGAGGGGCGGGGTACACCCTGGATGGGTCGCAAGTCCATCACAGGGACACACATAGAGACAAACAACCATTCACTCTCTCACTCTCACCTAGGGACAATTTAGAGTTACCAATCAGTCTAACATGCATGTTTTTGGTCTGTGGGAGGAAACCGGAGTACCCGGAGAAAACCCACGCATGCACGGAGAGAACATGCAAACTCCACTCAGAAAGGCCCCTGTACTGGGGTTTGAACCAAGGACCTGCTCGCTGAGAGGCAGCAGCTCTACCAGTTGCGCCATGGTGCTGCCCCAGTTTGTCATCAACACTAGTTAAAATACGGTCTATTCAACCTTGTAATGGGTCAATATTGAACAATATTTTAACTTCCTGACACCATTTTTAAAACTTGAACCCGAGAGTCGAGACATTTAGAGACATGTCTTGTCTCCTAACATCCCATGAACTGACACATTTTAATATTGCAGCAAGAAATTCTTGTTCAAGTTCAGAAAAAGTTGGTTTTAAAAGATTTTTGAGTTCAATCTGGCTCTTCTGGGAGCGAGAATCTGTCCTGTTGTACTGAACAGTCTTTCAATAAGGCCCTGGGTGGTGCATGTCTTCTGGCTGACTCTCTTGCGGTGGAATACATTTTGGGTGTGTTAGCGGTGCTGGGGGTGCACCCAGCTCAGTGACATATATACTAGAATATATGTCATTGGCCCAGCTCTTCTTGAAGGCAGGCCTAACGTTACCTGCCTACTTTGCAGTGGTGCAATGGACCAGCTCCCCTCTCATCATTGGTTACTTTCAAAGTAACAAACAAATCAAAAGCCGCAACATGAATGTAACTTGTAATGCAACACATTATAGAAATGTAGTGTAGTAGAAAGTACAGATACTTAATTTAAAATGTAGTGGAGTGAAAGTATAAAGTACCCACATTTAACTCTACTTAAGTAAAGTACAGATACATGAAAAATGTACTTAAGTACAGTAACAAAGTATTTGTACTTAGTTACATCCAACCACTGCCCATTGGTGTATGAATGTAATAAAGCACTGATTATTATTTGAATAGATATAGTAGAGTGCCGTATGAATGAGTAAATGAGGGCACAGATTGTGTTGTAAAGCATTTTGAGTATCTTGATAGGATAGAAAGGTGCTATATAAGTACAGTCCATTTACAGCAAAAAAATAAATAAAAAAATTCACAGATAGGACAACAATAAAATGTCAGTTGACAACATCAAAACATCACTGTTTAGACAACAATAACAAAAACATCTAATTTAAGACAACAATTAAAACATCACTAACATCAAAGTTAAAACCCAGTCAGTCAGGACTGGCACCAAGACCAGCCAGGATCATTACAAACACAGGGATGTGTTCTTGTAAGGATGGTACCATTTACTGACTCGGTTTGTGTCTGTGTTTCCCTTGTGTGTTCTCTTCAGTTTAATTGGTGTCACCCTTGTCTTGTCACAGCTGTTTGTAATCACGTCTCGTTTTGTCCTGTATAAAAGCTGTCTGTTCTGTCTTGTTCCTCATCGCATCGTATTCGTTGGGTCTTCAGTGTTCTCATGTGTCTCCTGAGTTTTCCTGAGCTTCCTGAGTCCCGTTTGAGTATCCCTCCTGAGTCTTCTAATTTATGTAAGTGTTGCTGCCACGTCAGCTTATTGTTTTGTTACTTTTTACTCATCATTAAAATACTTAGTTTTGTAATCTGCCGAGTTGAGTCCTGTCTGCACTACTGGGTTTGTTCCTGTCCACCAAATCCTGACAGTTCTCAGCCCCATTCTCTACACCAGAGGTGCCCAGACCTTTTCAGCATGCGAGCTACTTTTGAGTAGCACAAAAACACTACTCTCTGCCATTTATTAAAACTGTTGTTAGTGTAGAAAACTACTGACTGCAGCTGCCTATTGACTGCAGCTGTCTGTAGTGAACATCTCCACTCTGAGGCTCCATTTACATGGACACAGCTGGGGGAAACAGGTTTTTTTCAGATGTTGATTCAAGGAAAAATATCTGCATTGCCACAGAGCGGTTTCATTGTTTACATGTATCAGCAGCAACCCCCCCCCCCCACACACACACACACACACACAAATTTGCTGTATTTGACATGCCAGGTCATTAGTTGGCGCTCTGAATTTTGTACATTCACCTAATTCTCATATGTGCTGCCTGGAACTGCTCTCAGTAATGACTTTCCCTCTGGGCTGAAAGCCCAGCAAACAACAACTTAACAGCAAGTTAGAACAAGATTTTGGCTGGTTTTTGGATACGAGCAGGGGCTGAAGTATCCATCCATCCATTATCTTCCGTTTATTCCGAAGTCGGTTCGCAGGGGCAGCAGCTGGAGCAGGGAGGCCCAGACATCTCTTTCCACAGCCACCTCTTCCAGCTCTTCTGAGAGGATTACAAGGCAGTCCCAGGCCAACCGAGATACATAGTCTCTCCATCGTGTCCTGGGTCTTCCCCAGGGTCTCCTCCCAGTTGGACATGCTCGAAGCACCTCCCTAGGGAGATGCCCAGGGGGCATCCTTAACAGATGCCCGAACCACCTCAACTGGCTCCTCTCGACGTGAAGGAGTAGCGGTTCTACTCTGAGTCTCTCTCAGATAACTGAACTTCTCACCCCATCTCTAAGGGAGAGTCCACCTACCCTGCAGAGAAAATTAATTTCAACCGCCTGTATCCACGATCTCATTCTTTCGGTCACTACCCACAGCTCATGACCATAGGTGAGGGTAGGAACATAGA